GCTCTGTTATGGAAAAAAAAAAGAAAAAGCAAGGATGGAAGAAAGGTCAACACCACCTATGGAAAAGCATACATTCCTCTGAAATATGCCAAGAAATGGTGTAAAGGCAAATGCAGTCTTTTTGCTCACTGTAGACTGTATAGCTCAAGAAATAATAGGGAGCGTGTGTTTCCCATTCCCTTACAGACTGATGCATATTAGTTAACCGGAACACAGACTTGAACCTGTGTGGCCCTGAGCACTTTGGTTTTGATAAAGGTCTTTCCCTGCAACCCTGCAGCCTACTTGCCACTCACAGGTCCCCTCTTTGCCCCATGCTGCCGTGGCAATGTGCCCTAGCACTTGTGAGATAGTGGTTTTTATCCTGTTGTTCCTATGCTGTTATTCTCATGGGTATGTACCTGCAAAACCTGAAAGTGCTGTCATAGTAGGTTCTGTATAGAGCTTTCAGGCTTGTAAAGGAAGCTGCCTTTACATATGATGGAGAGAAACAGGCACCTCTAAAGGGTGAAAGTTATCTAACTGCCTTGGAATTATCATTAAAAGCTCTTTTTCCCCCAGTACCAGATGAGGTGATGAGGGAAATGGTTCTCCAGAGCAGTGGTTGGGTTATCACCAAGGAGAGAGGACATTCAGGGTCCTTTGCCTTCTCCTGCATAGAGTCAGGGGGCACCAGAACAGAGTGAGACTGAAACAGAAAGTGAGGGCCTTCAAGCAAAATAAAATAATTTAATTACTGAATTCATCTTCAAAGCACTGGATTTGGTAAAACATTATTGTTTCAAACCTAGAGGTGCAAAAAGGAGAAAGACACAAAACCAACAAATGACCAACTGTCCAAAATAACCCCTTTGACTTCTATAAGCAACTTCAGAAGCTATTGGAAAGTTCATCACCTCATACCACCATTTGCTCAGAAAAAGGAACTCATGGACTTCATTGCATTTATAAACATTTAATTCAAGCCAAAATTTGGCTTAATTCACTGACCACTTGAAATTCTATGTCAAAGAAGAGAAACTCTTGTTGCGGATGACATTTAAACGCTTAAACCAGAGGAGATGGTCTACATCTCTTAGCATTATTTCTCTATTATCTCTTATGTATCTATTTCTCCAACAATGGGAAAATGGCCCAAAGACTGTGCCTTCATTAACTCTAAGAATGATGAATTCAAATCAGCTATCCTGTGCTGGATGGGAGGAAAAATAATGTTGAATACCTGCATTAAAGGCTACACCATACTATAGATGCACACAGAAGATAATGAAGGGTAACTAAAGGATATCCTTTCATTTTACAGTTTTATCAGTTTTAATATCCAACTTTGAGATTTTAACATTGGTAAGGTTTGGAGACTTGGCAGGGAGCCAGCTTCAAACCATATCATCCTTATCCAAACTACCACAACATCTTAACACAGTCTTTGTCTATGCAATTCTCCTTTTTTTGGCCCATGTAGTTATCCTTGAGTATTATCTTAATATGGACATTAACGTAAGACTGAAGCAGGCATATGATCATTTTGTGCAGCTAGAATGTGCAGACTTCTCAAAACACAGCAAGTATCAAACAAAAGGAGTCAGATTTTTCTAATTAGCAACAAGCTCTTTTCCATACACCTTACTTAGCTTTTTGTCAATGGTACTCTACCCAGAATGCTTTCTGTCTGTCCTTTATCCCTACTTCTTTCAACTTGGTTTTATGACAAAACTCTTCACAAAATGATACACCTTTAAATTTTTGGAATATGCATATATTGCCTTTGATCTGAGTAAAGAATCTACTCTTTTTCTTGAGTATTTTATGTATATTGCGAACGAAAGAAAAATCCCTAACAGTAGTTTAAAGATGAACTGAAAGCAGTTTAAAAACATAGAATAAAAAATACATGTACATGCACTTAGCAGTAACAACACAACAACAAAAGCATAACTTGCAATTATGCACAAGTTATTCAGGAGATTCTCTAATACTGAGATGTTTAATGTAGACATCATGGCAAAAATTATCTGCTCATATGTGCACTAGATGGCAATTTCTCTATTTTGCTACTGTTACAGGTACATAATTCCTAGAAATAGGCAGTATTTTTAGGCCTGCTGGATGGAAGACAAGTGAAATCTATACATATTGTTTGTATTTCACAAGAGAACTTTTTGTCTAAAAACATCAGAGTCAGTGCTTCTTTTTCTTTCTATTGCTGTTTTTTTAATGCAATGTCTAATATAAAACTGCATTTTTTTAAAATCGTTGAGTATTTTTAGTTTTATGTGATTTTAAAATGATTCTTGAGAGCAAGTGTCCACTTCGTACAATATTGCTTCCATATATAAAAATAATACTGATGTAAGTACTCATGTATGTAAGGTTAGAAATAGGCTTCCTGTAACACTCACACAATTTGACCTCACTATTTGCAGAAGGCAAACACAAGAGATACGGAAAGCCAAATCAGAGCCATCACCCCCACTAAAAATAAAGTCTATTAGAAACAGATTCAATTGTTTATCCTTTTAAGTTGTTACACATTTAGAATAGAATAGAATAGAATAGAATAGAATAGAATAGAATAGAATAGAATAGAATAGAATAGAATAGAATAGAATAGAATAGAATAGAATAGAATAGAATAGAATAGTTGGAAGGGTCCTACAACAATCATCTAATCCAACTGCCTGACCAATTCAGGGCTGACCAAAAGTTCAGCATGTTTAGCTGAGGAGAGTGATAGAGCAGCTTTGGTGAGCACCTGGTATCCAGCCAGGATCAACCCACCACATAGTCTTTGATCACCCTTTTGGTAAAGAAATGCTTCCTACTTGTAGAATCATTTGTTTAGGTTGGAAAAGACCTTTAAGATCATCAAATCCAACTGGTGACCCAGCACTGCCAAGTCCACCACTAAACCATGTCCCTCAGCGCCACATCTACACATCTTTTAAATACCTCCAGGGATGGTGACTCAACCACTTCTCCAGGCAGTCTGTTCCAGTGTTTGATAAACCTCTCAGTAAAGAAATGTTTCCCAGTGTTCAGTCTTCCATGGTGCACCTCTGAACCATACCAACGTGTTTTGTCACTGGATACCAGAGAGAAGAGCTCAGCACCTCCCTCTCCATATCCCCTCTCAGGAAGCAGCTCAGTCCCTCCTTTTCTCCAAACTAGACAAGCCCAAAGTCCTTAGCTGCTCCCTATAGGACATACCTTCCAGCCCTTTTACCAGCTTTATTGTACACCTCTGGACACATTTGAGTACCTTCACATCCTTCTTAAATTGTGGGGCCTAGAACTGCACACAGTGCTCAAGGTGAGGTTGCACCATTGTTAAATACACTATGATAATCACCACTTCTGACTGGCTGGTGATGCTGTATTTGACAAATCTCAGGATGCAGTTTGCTCTCCTGATTCTCAGGGCATACGGCTGACTTGTAGTGATTCTGCGCCACCACCAGATCCCTATCTAGAGTGTTGCTCTCCAGCCACTCCTCTCCCAATTTATAGTTGTGCCCAGTGTTACTCCATCCCAGGTGCAGAATCCAGCATTTTTTCTTGTTAAATTTCATCCCATTAATTATCGCCCAGTGCTCCAATCTATGTAGATCTCTTTGTAAGGCAGCTTATCCCTTGAGAGAGTCAACAGCACCTCCCAGTTTGTTGGCATCAGCAAACTTGTCAATGGTCCATTCAACTCCTGCGTCCAGATCATCGATAAAAATATTGAATAAAAGTGGCCCTAGAATTGCCCCCTGACGAAATGCTGCTGCTGACCAGTTGACAAGCAGATGTAGCCCCATTCATTACAACCCTTTGAGCCCTGTCTTGCTGCCAATTCTTCACCCAGGCTTCTACCAGTTGACAGCCTGTTCTGTCAGCACCCCATACATTTTTGTAGGGCTTTGTCCAACACTTTCTGTAAGAAAACTTAATTGTAGTGTTCAAATGATTATGTCAAATAGGCAGGCCATGGACCATATTTTGTCAAACTAATATTTACCTATTTCCAAAAAATGTACTGGTTTTACATAAGAAATTTTTGAGATGGTTACATCTGTCATCAGCACAGCCCCATCTGAAATAGTTTGCGTTTTTAATATTCCTTTTTTCCCCCACAAGCTCTAAAATAATCCTCTGATCTGTTGCAGTGGTTGAATATGTAATGTATTCTGGTCAGACCTTTGTAAAAGTGAACTGCAAGAAGTTAAGATTTACTGACCTACACTTCTCCAGCATTAAATTAAAACAGTACTGTTTCTCTCAGGTTCAAATCCAACATGGTACCACTTAGTCAACATAGCAAAAATTTTGCTAGTCCCATAGAAGTCCCATAAATTTGTTATGCACAGCAGAACAGCTATTTCACTTAGAAATGAGCACACACCGAACAGGAGTTCAGTGTCCATTACCTGTAGTCACAAATGAATATTCATTACAAAAGAAACCCAGAAAGAGTCTGCAACATTCACACACCAAACAACGCCTCCCTTGCTAAAGTTTAATTTAATTCTGTTCCACCTAGCTACAAAAAAAGTTACTTGATATGTTTAAGAAAGAGTTACTCTGGGCTTGTTCCTCACAATCGATACCTCATCCCATTACCTCTTTTCAGGTTTCTTTATTTCAGCTGTTATTAGGATGTGTAGGAGGCAGATTGCCTACCAGCCCTGCTACCCACATTTATGTCTCTGTGTCTCATTGTGTCTCACTGTGTCTCTCCCACTTTCCTCCTTCTCAGAGTTTCTCTCTCACTGGGCCGTTCTGATCACCATCTCCCCACAAAGACCTTATTTTAATTGAACCACCATGCCAGAGTATGACTTATAAAACACTGAAGTTTTATTTTGTATTGGGAAGACACTTGAGAAAATAAGTGAATTTTACTATTAGTTGTTTCATATGTACATTTTTCCACAGAAAGGTGGAATTTTAAGCGCATTGCCCACTGTATTGAAACAGAATGGTTGCTGTTGTTAAGACAGATTGCTCGCTTGCTTTACCTGAGCTAGTAGAAGCTGGAGACTTGCTGCGTCGGGATGGGCCTGGGCTTTTGGTGGTGCTCCTACGTGAAGTCGATGCTATTTTGGTATAGGAAGTGGATTTCACCACCCGACATTCTAAAAGACAAAGAAACTGCATAAGTTAGAAATAAAGAAAGCCAGCAAGATTCTGTAACAGAAAGAGCACTGAAAAGTGCAAACATTTTGCCCACGCTTGTTTTCATTCACCTTGAGGAGTTTTATGAGAAAATATAAAATCTGTATAAATGGTTCCATTAAAATTCAAGTACAGTATGTACCATATCCCAGACAAAGAGAACTACTGCAGTAATCCAGACTTTTAGATACCATGGTTACTGCAGGTAATCAGAACAGCTTAATTTAACAGTGCTGAGAATACACATAAAATTTCTTTGCTTTTGAAGATTTCAGCATAAACAACACAGTGATTTTTTTTTGTAAACAATCCAAATGCAGTGTAAGCATTTTTGTCAGTCTAGGCAGTCTCCTCTAGAAAAACTGGAACACTGTTTCTATGTATCAAAATGTTAAGATGACGCAGGTGTCTACCACTCATGAAAGACTTGAAGAAAGTGAAGCAGGTTTGTTGCTTCTGCTTAATCCTCTAGTGAGCAATAGCACACATTGTATAGCACATGCAATTCATCACAGGTTGAAGGAAATGGCACTACTTGCTCATAGGAGAGATCAGTAAAATCAATGAAGAAGCAAAATTGCCCTCCCACTTGAGAACACTACAAGATGTTCAGGTTAGAGTTTATATACACCCACACATCTCTGTAGGCATCCTTGCATTACGCCTGCAAAATGGTTTTTGGCCCGAGGATGAAAGAGCTTAGTGTGCACAGAGCTGATGTCTTGCACTCCTAAATGGATACTAGATTAATCACCAGACGTATTATACACTTGGGAAAAATAAAAGATTTCCACTTCTTAGCCAATATACAATTAAAAGTCTGTAGCAATGTTTATACTGTCTTCACCTGACAATGTCAGTACACTTCACTTGCTTAAAAATACATCAGTAAACATTTAGTTCTGTATCAGACCTGTTTCCCATTTTCTTCCCATGGTTAAGGTTCCTCAACAGAGGTTAAGAGAAATAAACAAGAGTTTTTTCTTCCTAGTCAGAAAACACCATGTACAAGTCTGCACATTATTTAGTCTTCACAGATCAGTGGAGCCTGTAACATAGTTTAGACAGATTAGAGAACAAAGGAATAAAATTGAGCATAACTAATTAACTTACACATATCCACCAGAGAATGATGTCATGAAATTTATTTCTCTTGGCTGCCCTAACTCTCCATCTTTCATCAAGCTGCTGAAGGAAATAGAAGCAAGAACTGATGCATTACTGAGGGAACATCCAGCACAGCTGAGAGCTGAGAGGACAAGAGAAATGCCTTGGTCTCCCCAAAGAAGCTTTTCTTCCCAAACTTTGCACATTCCTAATGCCCAATAGTAGCTAATTTCTTTCTGTTTACATTTTATGTGATTTACTGATAACTACTCTTGTTTTACACTGAAATGGAGGAAAACATTTACTCTATGAGGAAATCATCAATTGAAAACAGGAGGAATCAGATAAAAACTCTCAATTAGATGCCTTTGGGTAAATACAGCAGTAATCTTACACCGATGTATTGACATAAACAGTTGCTCCAGAAACCATATACAACTTGAATGTAAACAAGTTCTTTACCTTTCCTGTAAACAAAAATGTAAAATTTCCAAACACCTAACAACACTTGTCTGATCTTGTAAAACTACAATGTAATCCCATTGTGGATTGTGGGCCTCGTTCACAGGAAACAGTCAGGAAGGCAACTGCATATTCTAATGGTCAACAATCAACAATACTAAAGCAGAATGATTCAACCAACCAAAATGCATTAGAATATATCATTTCCTCAGTAGAAAAACTTAAACAGTCCATGAAGAAAGGAGTTAGTTTACTAACATATAAAAAGCTTTCCTATTTTCAGTACGTAAAGAAAAATACTTAATCTATATCCCTCTTTTGGAATTCATGCTATGTACTAAGCTTAGTCTCATCTTATTACAAGTATTAATACTCATTCAAATTCTCTCAATACCTTATAAGCACTCAGAGTTAGAATGAGGTTAGAGAGAAGATTCTGCATTTGAATGCATATTTTCTCTCATAATATTGGAAAAGACCAAGTGGAAAGTGGTACAAAAGGAAAGGAGAGGCAACTAAATGCACATCAAGTTTATCTTTCCATCCTACTTACACAGTGCTTTTGAGGACAATACTCAAGAGAGCCCTTATACCATTTTTACCCAGCTCACTCAGAAACAAAATGAAAAAAATTAAGAAAAAGTCATTCTTAATCTGAGACTTTGTCAAACATGGGCAAGAATCATGTGGATGACCTGAACTGAAGAAGAGGTTAACAACATCTTGTCACCATCTTCCTTATCTTCCAGAAAGACATGCTCACATACTATGGAGGGGAGTCAACAATTTTGGGAAAGAGGGAAGCTGGCATCTGGCTGCACCCATTGGGGTATTTGACTACCCCTCACTATTGACGGTCTCCTTAGAACAGTTAAAGTTCGGAGTGGTCTGCTGTGGTGGGTTGACGCTGGCTGGACACCAGGTGCCCACCAAAGCTGCTCTATCACTCCCCTCCACAACTGGACAGGGTTTTATGAGTTGACATGAGAACCGACAGAGATCACTCACTGAATACCATCACAAAACAGTCTGAACTTGGGAACATTAACTGAATTTATTACCAACAAAACCAGAGTATAGGATAATGAAAAGTAAAATAAATCTTAAAAACACCTTCCCCCCTGCGCTCCCTCCTTCTCAAGCTCTGCCTCCTCCCCCGGCAGCAGGGAGATGGGGAATGGGGGTTATGGTCAGTTCATCATAAATTATTCCTGCTGCTACTCAGGAAGAAGTCTTTCTCCTGCTCTAGTATGGGGTCTTTCCTACTAGAGACAGTCCTTCATGAACTTCTCAGATGTGAAGATGTGTCTATTCCACAGACAACAGTTCTTCACAAATTGCTCCAACGTGGGTTACATTTCCACGAGGTGCAGTCCTTCAAGACCAGACTGCTCCAGGGTGGGTTCCCAACAGGGTCACAAGTTCTACCAGGAAACCTGCTTTGGAGTGAGCTTCTCCCTCCATGGTCCACAGGTCCCTGTCAGGAACCTGCTCCAGCACAGGCTTCCTATGGGTTTGGAGCCTCCTTTTTGGGCATCCACCTGCTCTGACGTGGGTCTCCTCCACGGGCTCCAGGTGGATCTCCACACTCCAACTGACCTCCCTGGGCAGCATGGAAACAGCTTGCTTCCCTGTGATCTTCACCACAGGCTGCAGGGAATCTCAGCTCCAGTGCCTGAAGCACGTCCACCCACTCCTTCTCCACTGGCCTTGGTGCCTGCATAGTTGTTCCTCTCACAAATTTTCTATTGTCTCTTCCCTGGCTACACCTATATCTGCCCAATAACTTTTTTTTTTTTTCCTTCTTAAATATGTTATCACAGAGGCATTATCATAATTTCTGATTGGCTCAGCCTTGGCCAGCAGTGGGTCCATCCTGGAGCTGGCTGTCATTGGCTCTGTCAGACAAGGAGGACGCTTCTAGTGGCTTCTCACAGAACTCACCACTGTTACTTCCCCCCCACTACCAAAACTGGGCCATGGGAACCAAATTCAACTACAAATCATCCCGATGGGCTACACATAGACCATGACCCGTTATTTGAATAACCCCCCACTAATGGCATATTGCCCTTTGAGGAAGTCACTTCTTGTAGCCAGTTGAACTTTAAATCTCTACCCACAGGAGTAGAAACACAGACGATCATATGACAATTTGAGAAATGAACAAGCATCACAGGATCGTAGTATAATACAGTTTGGACATGAGAAATTCCCTATTCCAGTTTCCAGCTCAAAGCTTGAAATAGCCTCCCATTCATAGTCCTGGTCCACTTGGGGTCACTTCAACTGGAGGAATGTGGCAGGGCATAAACAGTGCAGGAGGATCTTGGAGAGCATCAGTGACAACTTCTGTTACAAATGATAGAAAAAACAGTGAGAAGAGATGCTCTGGTCACACTCAAAAAAAGAAAGACTCTCCTGGAATGTGAAGGCCAAAGGCAGCCTTGGCTGCACTGACCATAAGATAGTGGCATTCAGGATTGCGAAGGGACTGAAGAAGGGCAAAAAGCAAAACCACAATTCTGGACTTCAGGCGAGCAGACTTGGGATTCTTCAGGTATCTGTTTGGAAGAATCCTACTGGATAAGGCCCTGGAGGGAAGAGTGACTTGAGAAAGCTGATTAATATTCAAAAATCAGCTCATCCAAATTCCAGCACAAACCATTTCAACAAGAAGGAAGCTGTTAAAAAATGTCAGGAGATCTGCATGGATGAACAAGTTGCTCCTGACAAAATTCAAACATAAAAAGGAAGCATAAAAAAGGTGGAAACAGGGACAGGTAACCTGGGAGGTGTGTAGAGTAAGTCCAAGAATGCAGAGAAACAGTTAGGAAAGCCAAAGCTTAACCAGAATTAAATTTGATGAGAAATGTCAAGGGCAATTAGAAGGGCTTCTTTACATACAGAGGGAACAAAAGGAAGACTACAGAAAATGCATACCCATTGCTGAGGGAAACAGGGCCTTGGTGACACAGAACATGGAAAAGGCTAAAGTATTGAATAGCTTCTTGAATAGCTTCTTTCTCTCAATCTTTACTAGCAAGCCTGGTCTTCTGGAATTCCAGGTACCAGAAACAGGATGAAAGCCCCAAGAAAGGAATACCCACCCTGAGTGGAGGAGGATCAGATTAGAGAATACTTAAGCAAAAGAGACGCATAGGTCCAAGGGACCTGGTGGGATGAACCCTGCAGGTGCTAATGGAGTTGGCTTACGTCCTTTTGAAGTCACTTAATAATATTTGAATGATAATGATGATTAGTACAGTCATTTGAAGAACCAGCAAGTCTCACTCCTATCTTCAAAAGGGTCATAAAGGAGTACCCAGGGAACTACAGGCAGATCAGCCGCACATCAGTCCCTACGAAAGTGACTGTGAAAGTGAATTTC